CTTCCAGGACACCCTGGCAAGAACTGAGATCTGGTTTAGAGAAGCATAAATGGACTCTAAATTGCCCCAAATGGAATACTCTAATACCCCACAGATTATTTCTCTCCTGATCATAACATTAAGTCCTGCATGCCCTTAACTACTCTGTGCTGGCAGGAAGGTAATAAAGTGAGTAAGAAAGAAAATACGATCATCTCACAGTCTGCATTTATCATCCGTCTAAGAAGTGACTCTTAGTTCTGTGGCCTGCAAAGAATCCTGCAGGTCAAAATGTATAGTTTTGTAATTCTTGTAATTCTTCTTTTCTTTTTCCTGCAGACATAGAATCATAGAATAGTTAGGCTTGGAAAAGACCTGAAGATCATCTAGTTCCAACCCCCCTGCCATGGGCAGGGACACCTTACGCTAAATCATATCACCCAAGGCCTCGTCCAACCTGGTCTTGAACACTGCCAGGGATGGAGCATTCACAACCTCCCTGGGCAACCTATTCCACTGCCTCACCACCCTAACAGGAAAGAATTTCCTCCTTATATCCAATCTAAAGTTCCCCTGTTTAAGTTTTAACCTATTACCCCTTGTCCTATCACTACAGTCCCTAATGAAGAGTGCCTCTCCAGCATCCCTATAGGCCCCCTTCAAATACTGGAAGGCTGCCATGAGGTCTCCATGCAGCCTTCTCTTCTCCAGGCTGAACAGCCCCAACTTCCTCAGCCTGTCTTCATATGGGAGATGCTCCAGTCCCCTGATCATCCTCACGGCCCTTCTCTGGACTTGTTCCAACAGTTCCATGTCCTTTTTATGCTGAAGACACCAGAACTGCACACAATGCTCCAAGTGAGGTCTCACGAGAGCAGAGTAGAGGGGCAGGATCACCTCCTTCGACCTGATGGTCACGCTCCTTTTGATGCAGCCCAGGATACGGTTGGCTTTCTGGGCTGCGAGCGCACACTGCCTGCCCATGTTCATTTTCTCATCAACCAACACCCCCAAGTCCTTCTCCTTGGGCTGCTCTGAATCTCTTCTCTGCCCAGCCTGTAGCTGTGCCTGGGATTGCTCCGACCCAGGTGTAGGACCTTGCACTTGTCATGGTTAAACTTCATGAGGTTGGCATCAGCCCACCTCACAAGTGTGTCAAGGTCCCTCTGGATGGCATTCCTTCCCTCCAGCGTATCAACTGAACCATACAGCTTGGTGTCATCAGCAAACTTGCTGAGGCCGCACTCAATGCCACTGTCCATGTCAGCGACGAAGATGTTGAACAAGACCGGTCCCAACACCGATCCCTGAGGGACACCACTCGTTACTGGTCTCCAGCCGGACATTAGCAACCTGTACAGTTCCCTGCATTGGAATCTTCCTTTCAGATTGGTAAAAGCAATAAATACAGTTGTTGAAATGTAACCTCTTAAAAAGAAGTTGCTAGTCATTAACGACAACTTACACATGCAAATTTCAGTGTTTGGATGCAGAATTTTGTTTCAGGCCAGTATACACATTTAAAGGTATTTAGGGAAGGTATAATGTCTTTTGAAAACAAATCAGTAACTGTATAAAAATATTAATAATTACATCTAGACATAGGAAATACAAAATAGTTGTTTGCAACCTCACCAGGATTAATATTATACCAAACATATTTCAAAAAGCCATTTCTCATTTCACAAAAGGGGATGTCAGAGTCTTTGCTGCCTCTGAACTACTGTCCTCTGAGTTCAAAGAGGAACTGTTAAACTTTGGATCTGTGCCTGGACTTTTTTTTCCTGGTATCATGAAAGGATGTGAATACTAATCCCAATTAAACAAGAAGTCAGCATGTTCCACAGAATTAAAGGCTGAACTGTGATTCAGGAGAGAGGTGAGCTGCTCCTGCTTTTACTGGTGAGGTGCCATGCCACTTACAAAGGTCATGCTGGCTGGGCTTCTCCTATTTTTTACCCATCAATCTGATATTAGCTTGAGGGCCATCACTACGCCTCCTCTCAGATTTTTCAGTATATTGAGCCAAGGTAGCAAACACCACAAGCAATGCATTTTTACAGAATAAAGAGTGTATTTACATGTATTACATATTTAATATCCTTTCATAATAAAGCCAACTATTGGGAGCTTCTACACAAACATAAACTTTAGATGGCTGGTATTAAAGTTTCTAAAGATTGATATAAAGTCAGTTTAAGAGAGAGATGGAACAGAGAATGGCTGGCACAAACCATGCGATCCCCAAGAAGAGCACACTTAAAGAAGAAAGGACTGTAAAGTGGATATGGGTGCCTTGGGACAACTGTACCAGGTAACAATATTGCAACAGTGAGTGTTTATTGATGACTGCACAGTACATCAGTATGTGTCAAAGGGCAGTGCATAGGGCGCTCTCAGCCTACTATACATAGGAACAACACCAGCCTGAGAGAGTACAACACTTTCAAGAGTATCTACATCATTAAAGGAGAAAAAATCCCACTGATCTTGAACAAGTCTCAAATTATGCCACAGTCTCCATCTGACTGTCTCAATCCTTTTAGTTGAAGCTGGGTCCATAAATGAATGAGTTGGTTTGTATAGAGATTGGTCAGGTCAATATCCATGTTTGCTGTTGGAGTCAAATGCGAAGTCTCTGTCCTGTGCTCCATTTCATTGTGGAGACATACCCTTGAACTCCTTTGTTACTTACATACTTTACCATTAAAGATGTAGGAATCTTCAGTGGAATATAATCTGCTGATTAGATCATGCTATGCCTGACAGAAGCTATGGAAGAAATAGGATATTTGCATAGAAAACAACTCAGCAGACATATGGGAATAAAGAAATGCCAGCCATTCATTAAGACTTTACCTGCTATGCCTAATTTTGCAGAGAGGTATGGAAAGAATTGAAAGGTTAAAAGGAAGGGCAACAAGTATAAGTAGCTTAGTTCTTAAGTTCAGTAATGAATGGAAGCCATGAAAATTATGGAAAGCCACAAAAAGTATTTATTGCAAAACAGGAACTTGCAGGTCTGATAATGTTGCCCCTCATAAGGATGAAATTCTAGAACAGATGTCCCACAGGAAAGCTACTGCAGGAAAGGACTTAATAAAGGGCATGAATGAAGTACTGTGCTTCAAGGAGTACAGGAATGAACCCAGCCTCCTAGGACTGTTGTTTTTCAAAATGTGAGACTCTGTTTGAAGATGAAAATTAATTTCCAGTCAGATGGAACAGAATCAGTTATGATTTAGGGGAATGTTTGTTTTTTCCCCATGTGGTTGAGCAATGATTCAAATAGACTGACATTAATAGAAACAACTAGTGTGTATTTAAGAAGCAATTAGAGGACAGAACTTAACCAATAAACCCAGTTTGGTACGGGAGACGGGTATGTATATGCAACATGATCTCTTATTTGACTAAAATTCATGTTCAAAAATATGATGTTTCTGTTTGTACTGCTGTCAGGTGATCATTATATGAGGAAATATGCCTATTTGCTTTTTTGTCTCAGTAAGCTGCACCACTGTTACAGTTTGTTTTCATAGTATATATTCCTTTCAGTCATCAGTTGTGAAGATCATAAGTAATGGTCCTGCAGAAGGAAATCTGTTTCTGTTCTGATCTTAAAAAAAAACAACCCAGCACATTCTACTTCTTTTGTCCTATTTTCTTTTCACCTTGCACACAGCTCATGAGCCAGTACTCTCTTGTTCCGTTAATGACATTCCAGCTAAGTCCTCCCTCTACTTCTGTCTCACAGTGGTGGTAATTTCTACTCCCGGGCCAACACTACATCTTGTATATTCTGCAGGAGAAGTTGAAGCCACACTCCTGGACGTGGCCTAAATGAAGGGGTCACTGTAAAAAGTGTGGAGGCCACAACCCTTCTTCAGAACAGAAGCGACAGAGATGAACTCCCACACTTACTCAGTGGCTCCCTTATCCTCATTGAGGGCCTCCGTCCCTCTTTAGAAGGGGCAGAGTTCTGTGGTGTGAAGAGGAACCTCAGAATTGCAGAATGGCTGAGACTGGAAGGTATGTCTGGAGATCACCTTGTTCAAATGACCTGCTCAACCAGAGCAAGTTCCCCAGGACCGTGTTTAGGTGAGTGTCTCCTGGTCTGGAGACTCTACAACATCCCGGGGCAACCAGTGCCAGTGCTCGGTCACTCTTACAGCAAAAAGTGTTTCCTGATGTTCAGAGGGAACTTGCCATGTTTCAGTTTGTGCTGTCACTGGGCACCACAGAAAAAGACTTGGCTCCATCCTCTTTACATCTTCCCTTTAGGTATTTGTACATATTGATATGATCCCACTGAACCTGCTCTTCTCCAGGCTGAACAGCCCCAGCTCTCTTAGCCTTTCCTTGCAGGAGAGGTGCTCCAGTCCTTTAACCATCTTCATGGCCTTGTGCTGGACTCTCTCCAGTACCTCTACAGCTCTCTTGTACTGGGGAGCCCAGAACTGGACACAGCACCCCAGGTGTGGCCTCACCAGTGCTGAGCAGAGCAGCAGGATCACCTGTCTCCACCTGCTGTTATCGCTTTGCCTAATGCAGCCCGGTACCATTCATGTTCTTTACGGCAAGGGCACATGGCTGACTCACGGTCAGTTTAGTGCCCACCAGGTCCCACAGGCCCTTCTCTGCCAAGCTGCTTCCCAGCTGGTGGCTCCCAGCCTGTACCCATGCCTGGGCTGTTCCTCTCTAAGGGCAGGGCTTTGTCCTTCCCCTTGCTTGAAGCTGCCCCCACCGGGTGTCCCCGCGGGTACAGACCTCCTGTGCCTAGCCCGAGGGGCAGCGGGAGATGCGGAAGCCCTCACCCAGGCGAGGGGAGCAGCCCGCAGGGGAGGCGAGGAAGACGCCGGGAGGACCGGGGAGCGGAGGACCGGGGAGCAGAGGCCCGGGGGACATCAGCTCCCGTGGTCGCCCGGTGCCCTCTCCACCATCCATCACCTTTACCCCTCGCCCACCTCTCCTCGCCTCGCCTCACCTCGCCGCGCCGCTGGGACAGCGACAGGCTCCCGGGGCCCGCCCGGCGCTCCTGCTCCACCACACGACGACACCCGCGGGAGGGGGGAGGGCCGAGGCACGGCGCGGAGCGCAGGCAGCCCGCCTCGCCCCTCACACACACTCACGCACGCACACGGGGCTCCTTGCAGGGCGTCCGCCCATGGCCGACAGGAGCCTTATCGAGGGCGACGAGCCCGTCCAGCGCAGGGAGGAGGCTCCGGAGTGGGGTTACGAGGAAGGTGAGGAGCGGGCGGCGGCGGCGCTGCTGGGGACAAACTTTCTCCGTGGCCGATGAAGGGGAGGAGGAGGTGGCCGTGACAGGACTTGGGTAGCGGAGCAGAGGAAAATCGGCCTCTGGCCGCCCCGAGCAGGGAAACGCCGGCCCGCAGCGGGCGGCGGGTCCGTGGCCGCCTGCGGGAAGGCAGCGGGGGGCGGCGGAGGCGCAGCGCCAGCTCCGATGGGTAGCAGCGGGGCGGGCGGCAGGGTCCGGCTGTCCCGGAAGCCGCCGGTTGTCCCCGTTAACATCTTTCCCTTGTGCCTCAGGCGTGGAGTGGGGGCTGATTTTCCCCGATGCTAACGGGGAGTATCAATCGCCTATTAACCTGAACTCGAGAGAAGCTAAATACGACCCCTCGCTCCTGGAAGTTCGTCTGTCACCAAACTACGTAGTATGTCGTGACTGTGAAGTGATCAACGATGGGCATTCGATTCAGATTGCCCTGAAGTCAAAATCAGGTACGGTGAAACACGGCCTTTGCTTTCCCCCTAAAGCTTGGGTTGCCTTGAGACCGGCTGTGCTTGTGTCCCGGAGTATGGGAACAGCAACTGCTCCCAGCAGCTCGTTCGACATGGGCTGTGCTGGTAAGAGTGTTGCTGTTGACTTCAGTAGGAGAAGGAGCAAGCTTTGCAATGGGAGATGCAAGTTTCAGTGCCAAACTCCGGATGATGGTCAGCCAGATTGCTTCAGAGCATACCTAGAATTTCCTCTTATAGTGGTGTCATCTAATTCACTGGCACTAACAGCTGTCTGCAGTCAGAAGCAGTCCAGACTACTGCTAAGACAGTGTGATGCCCAACTATTGTACAGCTGGAAAAATTTGGCCTTGGTCCAAAGACTGTCCAAGTTAAAAGAACTTTTTCCATTGATGGGAGTGGGTTCTGAATACTAACTACGGAACTGGGAAGCTTAAGCTAGATACTCCAGTTATACATGCTTACAATATTGATGAAGAGCAGGTAGCAAAGCAGTCCTCATTCCTTAAAGGGTTTTTTTTTGGTGTCATTCATCAAATGAGAATCAGAAGCAAATAATAAAAATACCAATTCCTGCTTAAGTGAAATTGCAGTGTCTCATTGAGATCTTTCATCTGGGTAAACTCTTCTGTGTGAAGGAGACAGCTGTCAAGAAATTAGGGAGAAAAAAGTCTGTTGTGCTTTCCATCACTGTGGTAGTTCTTACCATGCGTTTGGAAGAGCATCCAACTTATTCTAACCAGTATTAGCTAGTAACAGCCTTCTGGGGGCATTTAAACAGCTGAACATTGTCAAACCATGAGGCATTTGAACTTTTGTTTCCTTTGGAGATCCCAGTAGTCCTTGGAGCTACAGCTGTGCTGAGAGTGAGGGAGTCAGTTCAGTGTTACAATGAATTTTTTAAAAAGGAAGGGTTTCTTATTTTATTGACGGTGATGCTTTATTTTACATTTTCCTTTCTATGACAAATTCCATGTATTATTCTAACACAGAATATTTCTTTCCATAAAATTGCACAGATTTCCAACAGGACAGAAATTTTGTTCTTCCAGTCAGTTTTACTGCCTTCATCAGAAGCAGAGCTCTTTTCCCAGGGAGTAAGGTTCTCTCTGCAGGATCTGGAAGGTTCTTAAATTCTCCTGTGGAGGAAGTGAGAGTGACTGCAAACAACATGATAATTTGCATGCCACAGTGCAACTCCTTGAGCCCTGCCTTCCCAAGGGCAGTTTGTAACTTAGTGGGACCAACACACCAAAATGCATGTGCAAAACCATTGGAGACTTAGGAGAGGGAAGTGCTTCTTTTTAAATTTGAATGCAGTGTGATGCCAGACTGATGCATCCTCAAATATAAGAAAATGTGAGATAGAATAAAAGTTTACAACAGAGGTATGGAATTATGATTTAGGAAATCTTGTTTTAATTTCAGCTTTCCTTTAGATTCCATGTTCCATAATGTCTCATTCTCCATTTGTAAACTGGGGATAATTTTTCCATTTCTTTGAGGGGGAAGACAATGTTATCCCAGCCAAGAAGAGAAGAGTTAATAAGCTGTGTTTGACCTAGTATTTTGGCCAATTTTCAGGGATTGCGGAAAATCCTGCAGCTTCTTTTCCTCACAGGGGATCTCTGATGACAAATCCATTTAGCCAGATTATTTTAATGGGAACTGTAGAGCACTAAATACTTTTGAAACTCTGTCCAATTAATGTGCAAGAGATCCTCATCTATTGTAATGCTAACAGTCAATGCAAAACTTCTTCGTGGAAAAAAACTGATTAAGATACATATTAGAAATCAATTTGTCATTACTGGTGATTGATTTTATCCTTTAATTCAGGACACACAGTCCATCTGGAATTCCCAAATCCTTCTCATTATTTAATTGCAAACATTTTTGCAGGCTGCCTCCAGTTTGATCATCGTACATGTGTTATGCATTAGGTGGAAGAAGCATGACCAACTGTGTAATGGAATTGTGTACTGAAAAATACTTTAGAGAAAATCCTACTAACAAAGAACCTTCTCTTAAGCCAGCAGTGGATTGCACAGTGGATGTTGGTTTCAGAATAATTTTCTACTGAGGATCAAAACCTGCTGAAAGGCAAAGTGAAGTTAAACATTTTTCATGCATTGACAAGGATCAAGATTGGAGGAGAGGCAAAGGAGAGATAAACATGCTTCATGCATTGAAATACATTTGTCGCGGGATCAGTGTTATAATTTAAGACTCAGAAATAAACTCTTTGAAGCTCCTGGAGTTCTAGAACTGCATCATATAGAGAACATTTATTCTGGTTGCACTGTCTCTAGGAACAGGATTTTAAAACAGAGAAAATGTTCTGTTGTCCTAAGAAATAACACTAAAGAATATCATGTTTCTTTTTATTTGTTCAGATTTCCCCAAATACTTCAGTTTGTTGTTTCCCGCAATGTTCACCAGATCTGTAGGTTTTCCCTGTAGGATATAGGTACAAATAGAATACAGATGTAGCAAGTTTAATCTGGATCTATAACTACATTTGTAGCTGGTTAGATTAGTTATGTTATTAGTTATTAGTTATTAAAGTTATTAAAGGAGGATTAATTGGAATATTTTACTTGTTTCTCCAGTGTAATTGCTTATGAAACCTGTAACTGATCAGTTTTCTTTCAGTTTTTTTTATAGTTCTGTACATTTGCTTTTGTGTTTGTACAGTTGCAATATGTTTTCATTGTTAAATTATGTTTTAGTCGTGTACTGTGCCTTGTGCTCTAAACTAAGGCTGTTTAGTTTTGCGTGTCAAAAGAACTTTATGTTATGTAACTTTAATTCCCTAAAGCTGTAGGTTATGCAATTAACTAATCTGTATCAATCATCTGAGATTGTAAAAGATTCATTCAAAGTCTATGAAATGTAAGCTATAATTTAATGGATTCTGGGGAAGACTGTGAATGCGCTCAAGTAAGATCCATCCTTAACTAGAAGCCAATATTCAGTGATTTCAGGGGGAAGTTCCCTACAGCTTGTGGAATAATATTTGGTCTGAAGCAGATTCAGAAATGCCAGGGCAAAAGGTTCCATTGGTTAATTCCAGAGTAGATTTGGCCTCACAAGGTACAGTTGCTTGCTTTTACTACTTATGGTGGAAGTCTCTATTAGTGTGCAAGTATCAAGCTACTAAATATTTTTGTTTTGTGTGTATGTGTAGCAATTGTGGGCAGAAGTTTTTTAAGAAATACCAGATATTTAAAAAAACGAGGTAAAAAAAACCCTAAACAAACCAAACCATGGCTGCCTAGAAGTTGTTTTTAAGTAAATGAGCTATGTTGTTGCTACTGTGTGTAGGTTGATTATATTTGGATATGGAAGCATTCTGTATCTCAGAGGCTTGATAGGTGGTATATGCCTGAGAACCTTTGCCTACCAAAATATTGGCAGTCAAAAGCTTTCTACTAGTTTCTGTGACTGATAGCAAATACAGGTGATGGAGATTAAGCATCTGGAAAAGTTGAAGGTAGTTGCCAGTTCAGTTTAGAACCCCTGCCATCTGTTTAGAGCACACAGGTACTGTCTTGATAAGTGCAATAAACATATTCACTGTTGTGACTGATAAAGGTACAATGTTTTGTATTTTGTGTTATGACCAGCTGTTCTACCTCATAAAACAAAGAGTGCAGCATGATAGCAATTACACTGTTGGTTGCAACTGCCTGAATTCAGGTTCTCTACTGGCATGGTATTTCAAAAGTGAAGATACCAACTCTGTCAACTTTACTCTTCCCTTCTCTAGTACTGTTTATAATAAAGAAGCTTGCAGCAATTTCCGCATTGTATTTGGAGAATATATTCAGTGGCTTCTCTGCTTTGAAAACCAACTTCCTTACCATTTGTCTTCTTTCCCAGTGTTAATAGGGGGACCATTACCTCGAGGACATGAGTTTGAACTACATGATGTTCGATTTCACTGGGGGAGAGAAAATCAGCGTGGTTCGGAACACACAGTTAATTTTAAGGCATTTCCCATGGAGGTAAGAGAGACACTGAATTGCAATGCAAAAACTAAATGCAAAAGATTTTTCTTTCATAACCTGAATTCCTGGTAGTTGAAAAGAGTTTCTTTCAGCTCCCCATTTTATTGCTTTGTATTTCCACAACAAAGTTATCTTGCTGAGGTGTGCTTTAGTGCAGGTAAATTAGGACATGCATCTGTAATAGAGTGCCTCCAGCACTCATCAGATTGTATGATTAATTGGTCATAAAGTTAACTTGCAGAATTATTAACTTCTGTCTCAATAATATTAGTGTTCTAACAAGATCTGCCATTTCAACACTTCCTGTGTCACCTTGACTAATAGCTATTGATGGGGAGAACTAGCCACTGGAAATACTTCCATGGTGAATAATAACAACCTAGGTAAATTTGGAGTAAGTGTAGAGCAATTTGTTCATGAAATAGCATTACATACCTGAAATTTGAAGATTATGGGATATTCTTGGTTATGTTCCATTATAACTCAATGAATTACAAAATTAGGAACACAAGCAAAGTGATAATGCAGTCTGAAAAAATTAATCTGGTCATGAGATGTCATTTTGGGCTCCTGGGCAACCCAGGGACCTATTTCTCCTGCCCTCCAGCAGCCATCTATCATACTACTTCACATCCCACTGTCCTATTGCTTACATTTGTCATGGAGTGGCTTGGAGTATCCCTTAGACTCTGGGCTGTGAGATCTGATACCCGCTGCGTTGTTTGGCGACTTTAGCTTTGCATCTTTTATTTCATTTGTTGTGCACTATTGGTTTTAAAGAAATTCAAGATTTTTTCAGAGTTCTATGAATTATCCTTGCTTTATTTATCTATCATAATTGCCCAGGAGCCTGAAACTCTGTTTACTTTTTCTCTGTGTTGGTCAGTGCTAGAAATTTGTTACTGTAGCATTATATTCACAGGTGCCAGACTGGAATAAAACCGCTATATGGAAAAGGATATAAAAAGTATTAGAGTAGGTATTGCAGACCTAAGTGTAAAAAGTCTGTGGACTTAAACCATCAACTTAATTCTTAGGGTTGTTCAGGTACTTTCTTTAAGAGTTGTGGGTCAGAGCCTGGTCTCTGCTGTTCACTATTTTGCACTGGTCCATCACACCCCCCATATATAAAATCACTCATAGGGGCTTTGTAGGTTGAATTGAGGCAGATCATAGAATCATAGGATCATTTAGGTTGGAAAACACTGTTAAGATTATCAAGTCCAACCGTTAACCTAGCACTGCCAAGTCCACCACAAAACCATGTCCACATCTGCATGTGGATCCACTTTGCATGTTGATTTCAGCACATCATAGCAGTGCAGGAGAATTACTTGAATGGGGAAGACTCATCAACAAAAGAGAAAGCAGAAGATTCATCTCTTCATCTTGGTTACCTGGCATATTATATACAACATGATTTTTATGGGCGTTAAGACCTTCGGGATACTGCAGTGTTCTTCTGAGGGAGGAGTAGTTTGCTCATTATGAAACAGCTCTGCGTAGTGCTTTTCCTCAAGGCTGATCCAGCATGTGGTGATCAAGAAATATTGTCATAAACTATGTTGAGATCTGTACTTGGGAGTCTGTCAGGGACTCCTGTATCCTTGTTTATTAAGGATCACTTCTCAAACAGCTTTCGTGGTGTGTGGAAAGAGTCTGTTGATAATCTGTGGAAACCCTAGAACTCTACTCCAAATCAGTCCAGAGAAAAGTATACTTGACCCAGAGATGTAAAACAACAAACTTAATCAGTCATGAAGAGATTTCATTTTTCACCTACCATAAAAGCTGTACGGCAGCTGCACAAACAGAATTCTGGCAGAGTTGAAGAACATCACCTGGCAGTGAGCAAGCTGGTGTTATCCCATCTCTTGTATCAAAGCAGCTCTCAGCTAGATTGATCTCCCAGAAATAATTACTGAGGTAAAAATTCTGTAGCAGAAAAAAACCCTGACTCATAATATCCTTTGAATACAGTGTGAATGTTTAATTTTGCAAACAGATCCTTATGCAGATTAATTCTTCTGGCAGAAAATGACAGCATAGCATGCCATATCCAAGCTCACTTGCACACAGGTGTACTGGCTGAGCCAGTTCATCGCCTTCTGGCCTGTGCTGCAAGGAAGTGCAGGGCAGTTTGTTTGACAGATGAGCTGCAGTTCCTTCTGCTATATGCACAAAGAGCTGCTATATTAAATTGTCCAAATCAAATATTATACTTGAGCAATAATAAAACACGTGCTTGTGACCACTGTACATGTTTATGAAGTCTGAGACTCCAGGATGGGAGATTTTCTGTTTCCATTCCAGAGATTTCCCCATCTAGGTTTTTAGTTGTTTTTTTGGTGAAGAGCAATCATTTTGAGCAGGGGACCAGGAAATCTTACTTTTTTAACTTCTAACATTAGCACTGATATATATATTTGTTGGAAAGCACCATATTCTGAACACATATTGGGCTTGAGTTTCACTGGGTTTGTTAGTTACTGAACACAGCGATGAGTGCCTATTTTGGCTATATACAAGCAGTCTGTTGTAGACTATGCTTTTGTCCAGTACTAAATACAAAATAAACTGGCAGTTGTTTGTGCACAGATGTATGCCTAGAAATACGTTGAGCACCAAGTGCGTAAGTTTGGATCTTCTGCCAGTGGAGTAAATCTAGTAGGTTGTTTTCCTAAAAAACTAGAAATGATTTACAAAAATTATAAGGATTTTCAATTCTCCTCTCTTTGTGGGAGGAACACAGGTCAAAGGGATAAGCAATATCTTGAAAACGTAAGTGCTTGGTTTAAGTGGGTACATTAACAACACAACAAACTAGGCCCAGATTATATACTCCATTATGCTGTTATAAAACCTGAGCAGTTCTACGTAATCCAACTTTGAGTCTGAAGAGATCTATGTGAGGTGAGTATCTAAGACTATTTATTGACTGGAACAGCAGTCTGTTTTTTTAGGACTGCAGGCTGTAAAGCTTTATTTTATTACCTTAGACCAAATAGTTGTGGAACAGCTTCAGATTATCAGTGTAATGGTCTTCGTAAAGAATGACTAAAAAAGAGTGTTATTTTTCAAAGTTTGGAAGCTTACTCTTCAATTACTTCCTTAGTCTCTTCATCTTTGATACCATAACTACTTTTTGAGAAATTAGGCAATATCCTGTATTAGTTGGGTAATATCCTGTGTCTTTTAATGTAATAATCTATTATTTATTTCTAGGCAGCTGGGGCCTTTGCATGTGGTTAGTATATGTAGGTTCATGGTGAAATGTGTTAGACTACTAAACTTATGTAACCTCTGGAAAAGCTCCTTGAAATAAGTCACACTGTCAATAGATGTTGTTCATGTGGCTTGGAGGTTGAGTTTATTGTAATTTTTATTATTATAAGAAGTTCAACAAAGATGTGTTTCCACCTTCCTTCACTGAAGAAACCAGAGTGTTGACAGTAATACGCTGGTGTTATAATTTCCACCAAAACATCTGTGTTTGCAGTCATTCAGGAGGACAGGACAAAACAATAAATAGTTATCAAAGGTAAATACTGTAACATATCTTTTTAAACAAAGGAAAGCAGAGGGCTGTGCATATTGATACAATACTCCTCTCTCTCTCTGTTCCATTAAAACAAGAGTATGAAGGCCGTTCTTGCCTTTTGGCCAGAATTTGGAAGGAGACATTTGTGCAAATTTCTCCCAAAACCTTCCTTATGAAGTACTTCTACTGCAGATAAGCAGTTTTACTTTGCCTTTTGGCATTGCTTGTGCTAAAGATTTAGTAATGGTCTTAACAATGAGAGACTCTTTCTTGCCAGCACATGGATGCAGGTACCCAAGATTAGATTGTTCTTTACAGCACACATTTTCACAGGGAAGTAAAATCCACAGTTATACATGTGATTTGCCTGGAAGTGTAAGAAAGATACAAATTGTTTGATAACAGGAAGGGGAAAATGGATGAACCAGGGAACTACAGAGCAGTCAGTCTCACCTCTGTGTCTAGCAAAATCTTGGAGCAGATTCTCCTGGAAGGCATGCTAAAGCACATGAAAAACAAGGTGCTTGGTGACAGCCAGCATGGCTTCACTAAGGGGAAATCCTGCCTGACCAATTTGGTGGCCTTCTATGATGGGGCTACAGAATTGATGGGCAGTGGTAGTGCAGTTGATGTCATCTACCTGGACTTGTGTAAAGCGTTCGATATTGTCCCACACAACATCCTTCTCTCTAAATTGGAGAGACATCAGTTAGATAGGTGGACCACTCGGTGGATAAAGAACTGGCTGGATGGCCGCACGCAAAGAGTTGTGGTCAATGGCTCAATGTCCGGCTGGAGACCCGTAACGAGTGGTGTCCCTCAGGGATTGGTGTTGGGACTGGTCTTGTTCAACATCTTTATCAGTGACATGGACAGTGGGATTGAGTGCGCCCTCAGCAAGTTTGCGGATGACACCAAGCTGTGTGGTTCGGTTGATACGCTGGAGGGAAGGAATGCCATCCAGAGGGGCCTTGACACGCTTGTGAGGTGGGCTGATGTCAACCTCATGAAGTTTAACCATGACAAGTGCAAGGTCCTACACCTGGGTTGGAGCAATCCCAGGCACAGCTACAGGTTGGGTAGAGAAGAGATTCAGAGCAGCCCTGCAGACAAGGACTTGGGGATGTTGGTCGATGAGAAACTTAACATGAGCCGGCTTCAGTGTGCGCTCACAGCACAGAAAGCCAACCATATCCTGGGCTGCATCAGAAGGAGCATGACCAGCGGGTCGAAGGAGGTGATCCTGTCCCTCTACTCTGCTCTCGTGAGACCTCACTTGGAGTATTGTGTGCAGTTCTGGTGTCCTCAACATAAAAAGGACATGGAACTGTTGGAACAAGTCCAGAGGAAGGCCACGAGGATGATCAGGGGACTGGAGCACCTCCTGTATGAAGATAGGCTGAGAAAGTTGGGGCTGTTCAGCCTGGAGAAGAAAAGGCTGCGTGGAGACCTCATA